GGACTTCAACTCCCAGAATTCTCCAGCCAGCTGGCTGGAGAATTCTGGGAGTTGAAGTCCACAAGTCTTAAAGTTGCCAAGTTTGGGAACCATTGTATTACCATATATACATTGTTGTTTTGACAATATCAAAATCTACTTGTTCTTATCTAACTCTTGGTATAGCTGGATATCTGTGATGTCTATGGAGATTCTCAGTCATCCAGGTCATGGTTGTCCCCAAGGGGCTTTTTCAAGAGGCAACTGGACTTTCTGGTTTTTCTTTGAAGAAGTTTCGCTTCTCATCCAAGAAGCTTCTTGAATGAGAAGCGAAACGTCTTCAAAGAAAAACAAGAAATGCCAGTTGCCTCTTGAAAAAGCACCTTTGGGATATATGTGGTGTTCAAGATACCAGAAGTTGCGAGTGCTCCAACACTGGAAGTTTTTAAGAAGATGTTGGATAACCATTTGTCTGAAATAGTATAGGGTTTCCTGCCTAAGCGGGGGTTGGACTAAAAGACCTCCAAGGTCCCTTCCAACTCTGTTATTATACTATATTATATATATTTTTCTTTCCTTGTCATTATCATCACTGGTGAAATGCAAATTCTTTCAAATCTTGCTCATTTTATTTTATTTTTTAAAGAGAAGAAAGTGAGACATAAAGACCATGTAGATCAAGTTTTTATGCTGTGAAATTATATTAGTATAGTTACTAAATTACTATAATTACTAAAATCTTATTACTCAGTTCTTGGGAAGCATTTTGTTAACGAAGGTTCTTAGAGAAACCCTGCTCTTCAATGGAGCACAGAGACATTATCTTCTTTACTTGTGTGATTGGAAAACTCAATCATGTTTGACCCTTAAGAAAAGTGTTCCCAGTTCGGCTGATTCTAGCCCACTGACCTTTTTTACTTCCTTTAGTGCTTTATTTTATCTTCTCCCACTTCTAAAGCACTAATAAACAACTAAATCCTTTAAAATGTCTGCATCTTGCATGTTATCTACTTTTGTGGACACCTTCGGTTTTTCTGGTTACTCTTTCCAGGCAATATTCCTTAGTGTTATGCCAAATGCCATGGCAGCGATCAGGTGCCCAGGCAATTGGTTCTTTTGGATCTAGAAACAATAAGCAGGCCAGTAAACAAAGGTAGTTTAAGCTTTATTATTAGCTCAAGCAAACAGAGGAGCCGCCAGGAGTTTCTTAATAATACCCCAAAGGTAGCCATTTTCCGTAGCTCCCAGCGGTGGGTTCCATGCAGAAGCACCCAACAAGCAACAATCTCAAGGGGTTTTTTTTAATCGAAAGCTGGCATTGTGATTTCATGGCATTGTTTGATCATTAGACTATAAGACCTGACACTTTGACTTGGTGGCACTTCACTCTGAGATGGGAATTAAAAGTCAGATTTTCCCCAGGAAGAAAAGCTTGGCAGCTAGGTGTAAATTCCTCCCTTCTCCTTTATTTAGTAAACAAGTAAAGAAATACCAAACAAGTTAGCTCAAAATGAGTTCTAAACGTCTAGATTTTTTCTTAATATGAAGGAGAAATCAAAACATGTCACTAAACTTGAAATAACAATGGTCATCTGCGTTGGCACTAGACTTGGAAAATGATGTGTTTCTCTAAGTATAAATAGTTATGCAACAGCATGACAAATTAAGAGCCTAAATCAGCTGTAGCTTAAGAAGCTTACCAATTTTGGTATCCTCATTTGTAAAAAAAAAATATTGGTCTTCTAACCATTGTCCTCGTGGTTGGAAAAAAACAGACGTAAATCAAAATGTGTGCTTGATTCAACTAAGGGGGGGGGGGGAAGCTCCCATAGTTAAGGTCATTCCACATCTAGTATTTGAGAGACAGGCTGAGATTTAAAATGCCGATTTCAGGAAAACACTTAAATGTATTTAGTTAAAATATAATCCCTTTCACACTGAATAGAATATCCTACCACTTATAGCCTCCTGTCATTTGGGAAAGGGTATAAATCGCTGGATCTTTTGTGGGTTTTGGAATTTTTTCCGAAGCCATTCTTAGAGGAAGGGAGGAAGCCAGGCTGATGAAGCAATTTTGCAGTGCCCTTGCCAAAGTATGCCTTTTTGTTTCGTGTGACAGTATAGTAGTCCTTGCTTAGCGACCATAATTGGAATCAGCAACTGCATCATTAAGAAAAGCAGTCGCTAAGTGACTGCTTACAAACTTCCTTCAGCTTCCCTTTGCTTTACAGGCCAGTAAAGGCCATAAAAGGCCATATATGCAAGGATTAAATTTATTTCTTTCATCCCCATTATAACTGTGAACTATATCAGTTGCGAAATGGGGACTACGTTATGGGTGCACACCGCCAGATGTTAGAGCTTGGGGTGTGAAGCCCCAGTGCTGCTTTCATCCTGACAAAAGGGCAAGAAGGAGATGTCCATACCCAAGCCTTTAGGGCAGTGATGGCGAACCTTTTCGGCACTGAGTGCCAATAGGTTCAAGTGGAAACGTCGCATGCGCGCATGCGCAATCATTAGGGCCATGCTCTGGAAAAGCCAAACTTCTGAGTTCTAGCATGCATACAGACCTGACAAATCAGCTGGCCGGCACGCATGCGCAGGCTGATTTTCAGCACTGCCGGGCATGGGAAGGGATCATGCTTTAGAAAAGCTGAACCTCTGGGCTCTGCCGTGCATGCACGAGTGACGAGCAACTGGCTGGCATGCATGGCACACACCGGTTTTCAGCACTGCCGCGTGTGTGAAGGACAGCTGATTGTCGCGCACTTGTGCACGCCAAAACCCCAGAAAACAAACAGGCAAGACCACGCATGCTGAGTGACATGGCTTCGCGTGCCACTTTGGGCACGCGGGTCATAGATTCGCCATCACGGGTTTAGGGAAATATATGCTTCAAAAGTCTGAAAGTGTTACTTTGGTCACAGATTGTGGACCCTGATTATAAATCATAGCTGTTTAAAAATATGTGTAAAATAGTTATGATTTGAACATGGAAGCAGCTCTGGATTTGCTAGGTGAGAAGATAACATCTTTCTATGTTGGCACTTCAGAAAACAATGCCATTTAAACAATATATAAATGCAGACTTGATAGAAAGATTATAACTATAGGAGTTTCTTTGTGAAGAGTAGTTTTCTGTTGTTCTTTGGAATTTTAGTTTGATAAAAACAATTATCTCCTATCAAGTCGTTGTCAACTGCTAGCTACCACATAGATAGATTTTCTCCACGATGACTAAAACTATAGATAGGTAAATTGTAATATAGGCATCTAGATTTTTTAAGGATAGCTTATGGTCCCCATGGATGAATAGAAGAGCGAGGCTGGTCCAGAGGCCTGTTTACTTCTCATGTTAAGAAGAGTTGGATCTTTTCAAAACAATAAATGTATTTTTAAAAATTTATCTGGTTTTGATTAGCCGAATTATTTACGTCTAACTCTCCCCGTTATTTCTAAAACAAGGTAGATTTTAATGCACTAACTTGGTCATTTCTTGGAAACTGTCTCTTTTTCCTGCACCCCTTTTATTACTGTGTATGCAGTGTTATGTCACAAGTTATTAACACAGTTTGTCTAGAGTGTTATTTTTAACCATGCCTCATAAAGTTGGATAAGTATGTTCTCCCTATCCCGGCATGACCTGTGCCGAAATCAAAATATTTCCTGGACTTGTAATCTTTTTCTCCTCTAGGGCGATCCTAATTAAACTGCTGTCTTTTGTGTGTCCGGGGAGGGGTGGGGGTGTGTGTCGTTAAGGTAACTCTTTTGCCCGCAGGCCACCAGAGATCCTCAGACAGATCCACCTGGAGAACAGAGTCCCAGGCATCAATGGGTAAATTGGCATGATCAAACCAAGCATGAGTTGTAGAAGGCACATCGTCAGCTGGCCGGGGAGGATGGTTGTGTGTTTATCTGTGTGTGGATGATGCTAATAACCTCAGTGCAACGCTGCTGAAGATCTTTCCAAAATTAATCATTCTCTTGAGTGTATGGGGTTGACCAAAGAACTTGCTTGGAAAAGGTCTGACCCACCTTTTGAAGAGTATGCAGTACGCTTTTTCAGTTTGGCACATTGCTCACTGCAGATCTGGAACCAGCTTTGGGGTAGGGAATGCGGTGGTGAAGCCAAAGGAGGCTTTTTTCTGCCATAAAGGGTGCATTTGGTATGATTCCCCTTCAGTGCTATCAGATTTACTATACCGCTGCTGAAATATAGATAAGATAACCTTTATTGTTATTTTATTTTTACTGCGAGCACACTGGGATGCATTAAAAAATGAGAAGCAAAGATGGAGCAAGAAAAAAAAAACCAGAGCATTTTCTTTCTCTTTCTCCTAGCCCTTATATTGCATCGATCTTTCTGTCCTTGCTCTCTAACTCTCACTGTGCTATATGGAGTCAATCCCCAAAAGATTCTTCAGAGCCCACAGAAGCACAATTCTTCTCTCTTCAGTATTTCAAAAGAGCCCTACCTTTCCCCCTGCCTTAATCTGTCCTTCTGTATTACTTAGAACAGGGGGTGTCAAACTCAAAAGCCGTGGGC